ATGAAATTAACTCAAGGACCCAGATTGACATAAGCAGGAAGCGACAGTTTCTACTTTTACGATAGCACAGAGATAAGCTGACAAATAGACAAACAAAAGGCATAACATTTTAATTTACCATCCAGTGTAAGAAAAATTTAAAACAGGGGGAAAATATATAGTTTTATAGTTTTAACGGTTTGTAGTAGTAGTAATTGCCAAAAGTAATTTCGAAAAAGGAAAAAAGGACATCATCAGAACATTTGGTTCACACTGGATCGTTTTGATTGAGGTGTGGTTCTCGCTCTTATGTCCAAAACAGTTCTCTTATTTTAAATCGTGGACTTGTAGATATAAACAGAAAACTATCAGGGAACTTAGATTATTTTTGTTGAATCAGTTGCTACTTGGAAAGCGACAATAGGGAAGGACACTAACATCATCTGTCGTGAAATTAAGACGACAATAGCAATCGGTTCGTCATAGCCATCTATATTTTGAGCAGGCCCCTGAGCAGTAGTATATTGCCTCACTTCCTACTCATTTCAAACAAAGATCATATGCCTTGTCATGTCCTAAATTGTACATAACAATGTTTCATTCGATCGATTTTAACTAAAAGTTTAAGTTTGAGCATCTCAGACGAGTGCTTTCCGTTTGCCTCTCGATGCGTGAAGCATCTTGTTTGAAAGAGCAATGATTTATTCTGCGAGGAAAAATTTGTGGTTCACGTTTGTGTCCTCTATGAAAGCCAGAATTTGATCATTCACGTTATTAATAAGTTAACAACTAACGTACTGTCCGTTTGCGATCCTGTCGTTGCCTTTGTTGACGAGGTTTGTTCTAACTAAAACTCTCGCGATTTATTCTCCATTACAGACGAAATAGCATAAGCTCAATACGGTGTATACCATTACCCATTGTCCTACATCTTTGAAAAGAAAATGTTGACTTACACTTTGTGTCATTTGCCTTTTTCAACTTGCATCAATCAACAATATGTTTGCCTGTTTTTCTCCTTTACATGTCCTTCAGTGAAAACTTAGCTAAACAGATTAAACATCTACACTTTTTAGGCCCGGATCTTCTTTGTTGAATTAAAGCAGAGACTTGATGTTATTGTTCTCGCAGAAGCTTTGTCGGCAGCGGACGTACTTGTAAAAAGGTGTCAATGCTGCAAAATTACTGCTCAACAATGGACGCAGATGCACCAGTTTTATGTAATTCCTACATCAGAGAGGCGATTTTCTGTTTACTGCTGTGGACTACCAGCGCGTTTGTGTTTGAGGCGGGTTTTATTGCATTTCATGTTAAAGTTAGCACAAAACAAAGTAGTCTACAAAAATATGGCCTTTTTATACCAACTGATCGTCATTTTGAACAAATCGAAAGGGGCGAAGAAATTTTAATTTCGAAACTGTGACGAGATTTATGATATATTTCGATCCGTTCGCTTTTCAGTTCTCTTCAATTGACCCTTTAAAAGTCACTTAACAAAAATTTTTTTTTTGCTCATCAAAATTTAAACTGTATCCTATGGATCAGACAGGAACGAAAATAATTTGACTTGTTTTTAATTAGCTCAACAGCTAAACTGTCGACCTCTAATTTGAAAAGTTGAATAAATTAAAGTTGAAATTTAAGGTATAGTTAAGTTGGCATCTTCACATTATATACTGCAACACTGGCTGACAAACTGATATAACAATATAGCAAACGAAATGCGTTGATAAAAATTATGAAAAACCAGGAACAGCAATGTGAATTTTACGAGTGGTGTATTTTCCAGTAAACACTCGTATCTATATTTAACAAATACAGCTGAACCTCAGGTTGCTACCACCT